CATGAAACAGATCAGCAGCAACATGAAACAGATCAGCAGCAACATGATGTGGTTTTTCACAGTGATTCTTCTGGTTAGAGATTCATGAGTCTAACAGCCTCAGGGTAGAAGCTGTTCCTCAGTCTAGTGGTTCTACACTTAATGCTCCTCAACCTCCTTCCTGAGGGGAGTGGGGCAAAAAGTGTGTGTGCTGGGTGAGTGTGGTCCTTCATGATGCAGGTGGCCCTCTTCCTGCATCTGGAGGTGTAGATGTCTGTGATGGTGGGGAGGCTGACTCCAACATCTGTGCAGCCTTCACCACTCTCTGCAGAGCTTTTCTTTCTGCAGCTGTGCAGCCTCCATGCCACACGTTGATGCTGGAGCACAGGATGCTCTCCACTGCACACCTGTAGAAGGAGGTGAGGACTGAGCTTCCAGACCAGCTCATTTCAGTCGCCTGAGGAAGTAGAGTCTCTGATGAGCTTTCTTCATCAGGCTGGTGGTGTTGTTGCTCCAGCTGAGGTTGTTGTTCAGGTGCACACCCAAGTACTTGCAACTAGCTGGTAGGGCTGTAAACCGAACCAAGGTTCTTTTATGGTAATGACCGAACTGCGTCGGTCGGTGTACTGTTGAAAGGTTGTGTCAATGTCCTGTTAGACAAATTTCTAACCCCCTGGTCCTGAAAATTTGTGTTGGCGACAAACTCCTGATCTTGACTGATGGTTTGTGATGAGAAAACAGCTCTGTTTTAATTTTAAAAACTTACTTTTTTGATGTTCCTTGCTCTTTTGATGCTGTGAAAGCTGGGCCTTTTCAACAAAACGATACTTCTTCCAACAGAGGAAGTGGTAGCAGAGTAGACAGCTTCTGGAGGGTCTGATCCATTTTGAGTGAGAGAGCTTCAGTGGTGAAGTGGCTCTGTCTTATTCTCTCACTGAGGACTGTCCAGACCTCTACATTGGAGAAACTAAACAGCCTCTTCAAAGACGCATGGCTCAACACAGGAGAGCCACCTCCTCTGGACAAGATTCAGCTGTTCACCTCCACCTCACAGAGAAGGGACACTCTGTTGAGGACCGAGAACACAGATGGTTTGAGAGGGGGGGTGAAGGAAGCAATTTATGTAAAAAGAGAAAAGCCGTCTCTTAACAGAGGAAAAGGCCTCAGATTTCCACTTTCAAAAACATATAATGCAACTTTAAAACAGATTCCCAGCTGGTTTTCACACCTGATGGGAACAGAGGGGGCCTCGTCTGTGAATTATGCCCCTTTTGCACCACCCCAATCAACCTCCACAATGCTCAGCCCTGCACACCCCTACTCAGCCTGGATTTGCACCTGCACTTTAGGACCGATTTTGGAGACATGTCCAGAATCCAAGTGCTGCTAATGAGAGTTCTGCAATGAGATACTCAAAGCTCCTCAGATAAATAATGTTAAATTATTATTTTTATATATGAATATTTCTGTTCAGTGTCCTGAGACAACTTCTGTTGTGACTTGGTGCTTTATAAATAAACTGAATTAAATCTGATGAACTAGATTCTACAAAAACATTTATATTTGAATCTAAAAAAAAATTAAGTCTGGTCCTCTGGACGTTCAAAAAACAAAACAACAAAAAAATGTAGAAACGTTTCGTCTCATCCTGAGGACTTCCTCAGTCTGAGGTGCTGTATTCAGCTCAGTCTCTTAAATAGCACCTTCTCAGAGTGGATCAACCAGTTTGCTGCTGACAACCAGAACCAGCTGATCACATGCTCAAGAAGGACCATCAGCCTAACAATGGATCATTAGCACACTGATGGCTGTTTACTGTTCACAGAGGGTTGAGTGATACTAGCAATCACAGCAGTGTAAGAGGGGGACAGTTGAACCTGGAGGCTCCACCCCTGTTTAATGATGGACGGTTTCTTTTCACAAAGATGGCCTCCTTTACTCCTCTCTCAAACCATCGTTCCTCTCTGTCCAGGATGTGAACATCTTCATCCCTGAAAGAGTGACCGCTGGCCTGGAGATGAGTGTAGACCTCAGAGTCCTGGCCTGATGATGTTGATCTTCTGTGCTGGGCCATCCTTTTGGCCAGTGGCTGTTTAGTTTCCCTGATGTAAGACTGATCACCCTCCTGACACTGAACAGCATACACAACATTACTCTGTCCGGTGCGGGCGTTGACGTGTTACATAACACGCGCAGCTGCAATGCGTCAAACTCAACATTTGTTTGTGCATTATAGAGACGCATCTGCAGGTCGCCCGTTATCCACCCAGCGCTTGTCACACTGGCTGTGTGAGGCCATTTCTGAAGCCTACAGAGCGTCAGAGTTAGAGCCTCCTGTCAACCTCAGGGCGCACTCAATCAGGGGTATCGCATCTTCGACTGCCTTGCATAATGGTATGACAATGCAGGATATTTAGCACTGCGGCTGCATGGTCAACACCCTGCTCATTTATTCACTTTTATCTACGTGATGTGACGGCTCGTTCCATGACACATTCTGTCCTTAGTGTTTACAGAATGAATATTGTTGTTTCATGGAACTCCGTTTAACTCACATCTGTCTGCATGCATTACAGTGTGAGATGTTATCAATCTCAAGTTGTGATTGTTATTTTGGTTCTATTGTCATTAATCAGTTCATGACTATTGTTACCAATCAGTTCATTTGATTAATAATCAGCTCTCCTGTTATTATTAATCTGTTCATACGGTTCAGCCGTAACCGGTTGGTTCATGGCTCTTTTCAGCATATTTTCCCTCCACGTTGAATTTTTTCGGGGACGTTCATGCATTCAGAATGCATAGTTACACAACATGCGTCTGTGCATGGCACACATAATTACGCAATGCGTAATTACGCACATGGAGAGCTGAGTGACGAGACGTTTTTTGGTCAAGCTTCTGCTTCATACGGTGTTCGAATGGACCCAGTGAGGTGAGGACCACATCTGCCTCACCCTTAACCCATCAGCGACAGCCTTAAAGGGCAAAGCTTTTACGAAATAGAACGTTGGTTACGTACTGTAACCCCAGATTCTATGAGTATAAGCGTAGCCCTTTTAGCGTCAGGCCTCACTGGCTCCTAAATGGCTGAAGAAAAGTTATTTGGGAGCCGATTTCCCGCTCTTAACGTAATTTATACGGACCGGGTGGGGCCCACACAGCAGGTGGGCGTGGACTAAATTTTTCAGTGTAATGCTTCGCATAACAGGATAACCCATCAGCGACAGCTTTAAAGGGCTACGCTTATACTCATAGAATCTGGGGTTACAGTACGTAACCAACGTTTTGAGATATGATCTTCCATAGTGTCTAAATAAATTTAAATGAATGTACCGTTGGCTTCACCGCTGCTGCCCCTCTACGTACAGAAGAACGGAGAGCAACTGCACCACCTGCTTCATGGTCCCTATGGGGTAGCACTGCCCCCTATCGGTGCTGCAAGATACTTTCTGCCCGTGCATTATGACCAATTAGAAAGAAGAAATATGTCACACATTCATTCAATATATTGGACTGTAGAACATAAACATGTGCAGCACATGTGTAATCAAGCATGTATATTGGTGATATAAAGAGACAGCAATGGGCATGCTCCAACTGCCTACTTCATTTAATGTATATAACACAGCGCCACCAGAGGTGAACCAGAGCACTATACCGCCTCACCCACCGCATTTCTTCCATGTTTGACCATCGAAGTGTTGAAATAATTCACCAGTTTTATAGAACAGTCAAGTGGTCAAATGTATTTTCTCTGATCATTGTCAATATTTTACTTGTCATGATGACCGCACATCACTGCCGCTAACCCACTTCAGCTAGCAGCTCAGGTGGTAGCTTCTACAGACTGCTGGTAGCTGAGAGTCATCCCAACACACAGTCTGAGCCAGACGGCTCCAACCATGTCGGCATTCCTCAGGGCGGTGCTGTTTGTCTGCAGGAGGAGAAGATGAGCGCGGGCATGAACAGCATCGAGGCGGTGAAGAAGAAGATCAAGGTTCTGCAGGAGCAGGCTGAGGAGGCCGAGGAGCGTGCTGAGCGCCTGCAGAAGGAGGTGGAGAAGGAGAAGAGGAGCAGGGAGGAGGTGAGGACTGTGATCAATAATCAACGATGCTCTGCTGGTTCTGTTAGGTTCTGGACATTTGGGTCACCCTGATGATCATCAGTTCTGGCAGTCATCCTTTGGGTCTTGTTCAGGCCAAAAGGTTCTGGTTCCTCCGGCAGGCTCACGAGTTGAATGTGATTCTGTCTAAAAGACTCCAAGTCCTCGTGTGTCCTCTCAATGTCTTCATGTGTCCTCTCTAGGGCTGCAACAACGAATCATAAAATCGATAGAAAATTGATAAAAATCGATGATTAAAAGTGTTGGCAATGAATTTCATTATCGATCTCAGTGTCAGCGCAGCGTCTTGGACCGCAGCGTCTCACGGCGCTGCGGAGCCGTTTTGTTCAGCTGCAGATCGTTGTCAATGCTGGCTGACTGAATAAAGTAAAAAAAAACAAAAAAAACCGCAACGCGAGTTGAACCTTAGCGAGGGGGTGGGGGGTGGAAGCAGAGCAGAGGCTGTTTTCAAAGCAAATAAAGTAAATTTTACAAATGACCAACGCAGAGAAAACTGTTCGACCCAAGTCCTCCAAAGTGTGGGAGCTCTTCACAAAGATAAAAACTGAGCAACACGCAGTTTTGAAAAGTGACGACACGGGAGAACCACGGAGATGAAACGTAAACATGTGGGAGTCATGAGGAAGGAGCTGCAGCTGATACAACTCGTCTCACTCCCAACTCGTGTTGCAGGTGAGTCTCTACAATTTAACACATTGTTGTTTCCAAGAGAGAAAACGTAACGTCAGTCTGTCTGGAGATGAAGCTGCTGCTTGTTTGTTTGTTTGTTTGTTGATTAATGACTGTGATAGAGAAGTGTTTATTTTTTATTTAATTTAATTGGTCCAAGCAGTGTTTAAATGGGATTTATAAATAAATCTAACACAAAGATAATAATTTAATGATTAAGCTTCAACTTTAAATTTGCTGGCAAAGTCTGAAGACACTGCAGGTATGGCAGGATGAATTGCATTTAAACAGGAATTAAAGTAATTTATTACATCTACTCAAATGTGTGTAATTAAGTATTGTGTGTGTATGTGTGTGTGTGTGTGTGTGTGTTTGCCTGAACCTAACGCTGTAAGTGAAACAAGACATTTCTTGAGTTGCTGTAAATTATGCTATAATACACATTTACTGTCTCATTCCAGAAAACAACAACAAACAACAACATCCTTCATGATGGACAGACATCATGGACACCACACTGACATGAGGCCTCTGTCGATGGTTGAAGACGAAAGCTTCACTACAATGATCCACACTTTTAATTAGGGCTGGGACCTTTCTAAAAAAAATCTGTACCGGTGTCGGTGCCTTCACTTCGGTGTCTGTTCCTGGACGGTTCTTTTTTTGGTAACAATTTTGTAAATACTATTTATTCTAACAAGAATAAAATTATGTTACACAGTACAAATTGTGAGTTTTATTTTTTAACTTGGGTATTTTTCTATTCCAAGCAGTTTTCTTACATAAAAATAAAAAAATAATTTTCAGTTCAAAAGAACAGTTGCAAACAACCAGTGACACGTCGGTGTTTAATGCTCACTGCTTCACACTGAGAACCTTTTCACTGAACAGTTTTTCTTCAGAAACATCAACATGTCTGTTTTCTGTGGACACAAACAAGCCCACTCCTGGCTGATGGCGTCTCCAGCAGTAAAACATGTTCACTCTGAGGCTGTAGATGATGCTTGTTGCACACACAGATACCTGGTTGTCAGTTTGATAGCACTGACACATTGTCCCTCACATCCCACCAGCAGGTTGGATTCACTGAGGTTAGGGTTGATGCAGACTTCTGCACCTCTGTCTCTCTGCCTGAATCTTCTCTGTGGTTCTCTGGGCTTTAGTCAAGTCAACTTTATTTATAGAGCACATTTAAAACAGAACCTGTTATCAACGTGCTTAACAACAACAATGAGTAAAATTAGAGAAAAAAATATATATACAATACACTAATAATAATAACTGAAGAATGAATAAAAAGCATTTTAAACATAGGGTCACAGATGAAAAAACACAAGATCAATTTACACTGTGTGAAATGCCTGCGAGAACAGATGTGTTTTCAGCAGAGATTTGAAGTGAGGAAGGGAGGTGGTCTGCCTGATGTTGGGGGGGCAGGTTGTTCCAGAGTTTGGTGCCCATGACTGAAAAGCCCGATCTCCTCTGAGCTTCAGTCTTGTTTTTGGAACAGCCAAAAGCAGCTGATCGGATGATCTCAGGGCCCGAGAGGGAACGTAAGATTCCAGAAGCTCAGAGAGGTAAAGGGGTGCGAGGCCATTTAGGCATTTGAAGGTCAACAGAAGAATTATAAAGACTATCCTCGTACGAACAGGGAGCCAGTGAAGGGAGGACAGAACTAGTGTAATATGTTCAGACCTACGAGTTCCTGTTAAAAGCTGAACAGCAGCATTCTGGACGAGCTGAAGACGTGAGATGGAGGCCTGGCTGATCCCAGCATACAGTGCGTTGCAATAGTCCAATCGGGTCGTGACAAAGGTGTGGACTAGTTTCTCAAGGTCAGGTCTGGACAACACTGGCTTGAGCTTAGCTACCTGTCTTAGTTGGAAGAAGCTTTTCTGCAGAGCAGAGTTGATTTGTTTGTCAAACTTGGAAGTCAGAGTCTAAAACCATCCTGAGATTTTTACCAGACTGCTTCAGATATGGCTGAAGAGAGTCCAGGTTGACAGGATCAGTGGTGGCAGTTGAGCTAGGGCTAAAGACAATGACTTCAGTCTTGTCATTGTTAAAGCTTAAGAAATTTGAAGCCATCCAGGCCGTAATGTCATCCAGACATTTTAACAGTGGGTGAATGGAGCAAACGCTGGTTTCACAGGCAGGTAGATCTGGCAGTCATCAGCATAGCAATGGAATGAAAGACCGTGTTTCCTCAGGATGGACCCCAGTGGGAGCAAATAAAGTGAGAACAGAAGGGGTCCAAGAATCAAACCCTGTGGGACCCCACAAGAAAGGGGTAGTAATGAGGCAGATACATTATTATCAACCTTGACACAGAAGCTCCTGCCACTCAGGTATGAGCGGAACCATTCTAATGCAGCACCTGTGATCCCAACCCACTGTTCCAGCCGTGATCTAAGGATACTGTGGTCAACAGTATCAAAAGCAGCAGTAAGGTCCAGGAGCACAAGCACCACAAATTGACCAGAATCGTTTGAGATCATAATGTTGTTACAAACCCTCACTAATGCTGTTTCAGTGCTGTGGAGTTGCTTAAAACCAGATTGAAAAATTTCAAAGATTCTGTTCTCATTCAAAAACTTGTTTAATTGAATGAAAACTATTTTCTCCAAGATTTTGGACAGGAAGGGAAGTTTTTGAGATTGGTCTGAAATTTGAGAAAGTCGAAAGGTCAAGTCCAGGTTTCTTAATCTGGACGATTCACGTAAATTACATATTTTAGTTTGATATTGGCGAATTTAGCCGAAAGGCGACTAGTTTGCAGGTAACTGCATAACAATAAAGAACATTGAGCATCTCCATCTAATGTTACTTCAACATCTTCTTCGGGTCCCTTCCTCTTCTGAAAATATTTTAATATACTCGTCTGAAAATGGAACCAGAAATGAGTCTCAACGGAAAAATTACCCAACATTATGGTATGTTGTGCTGTTCAAAACGTATCTGAAGCATTACACATTAAGGCCAAACTATATTTACCAACTACGTTACTGTTGTTTAAATGTAACATACGCTAACATTAGTCATTTTCACAGGCTTGAACTAAAAATGCATTCATCTCAACCTTCCTTAGATACCTTTCTTTCACCTTTTCTCTCCCTTTACTTTTGACTGTCGACTCGTCTCTAGTTTCACAGAGCGGTACTGCACCGTAGCTAGCTTCACAGCCACACAGGCCGGAGCTGGCAGTGTTGCCTTTTCAAAATAAAGTAAATTTTAATGTTTTATGATCCTTTAATTTATTTCAATTCTTTATAAAGAATACAGTAAGTATTTGGCAAAAGCAATGCAGACATGTTCCTGTTTTTAGTTTTATAAATTGCCTTGTGATCTGTTTTTTTGCTGCTATTCCTCTTGATTGTCCTTTTGGTTGCTATTATTATTTTTTTTTTTTTCATTTAGCCTTTATTTATACAGGTTAGTCTCATTGAGCCACGAGAACTCATTTTCAAGAGAGACCTGTTTAGGGAGCACATGGTGGGGGTTAAGGGCCTTGCTCGTGGGCCCAGAGTGGGGCGAATGAGGGTGGGGGCAAGTGTAGGTGTTTCACCTACCCCACCCACAATTTTTTTGATGTTGTCGGGGCCGGGGCGTGAACCGGCGATCTTCGGATCACAAGCCCACCTCTCTAACCTCTGCGCCACCACTCCCCAATTATGTTTATATTTGTTAAAAAAGAGTAGCCTATTTTGTGACTGTCTATTGTTGTCGTCGTTATCCATTGTTGTCATCACTCTGTTAAAACCAGGTCTCTCTTGTAAATGAGCCTTCTCCTATTCCGATCCTGTTTCCTGGAATATCTTACAAAAAGATTTGAAGCTCTCGACCTTTGACCTCTCTAAGTGGCTTTAAGAATCTGTTGGACTCCTGGCAGGGTCCAATGCTGACATGTTCCTGTTTTTAGTTTTCTACATTTGTCTTGGAATCTAGCTGTTTTTTGTTTTGTTACCTTTTCCTTTTAGCCATCCTATTTGTTAAAAAAACAAAACAAAAAAAAAACTGTAGTATGCTTTTTTTATAACTGTTTTGTTGTTGCTGTTGTCCATTGTTGTCATCTTTCTTTGTTAAATCAGGTCTCTCTTGTAAATGAGTCCTCGAGGCTCAATGGGATTTACCGTCTAAATAAAGGTTGAACGAATAAACCTTTATTCTGAAGGTGTGGTGGCCTTTATTTTACCATGGCAGCGCGCCACTATCAATTACATGTAAAGGAAACTGATAGTTCAGGAAACCCAAGCCAACCTTAACTATCAAAAAGAAAAGTCTTCAGCCCAGTT